ACCAGGTTTTCCTTAGTTTACCACCAAATTCAGTTTTTCATAAAATATAACATATATAAAACATAAATATATTTATAAAATGTAAATATATTTCTCTACTCTCCATTTCAAACAGTTAGTTTCATAGAGGAGAAATATCTTAGTTCTTTGTTCTTATTGCCTGCCTCTACTCTTAGGCACAATGTCTGAACCACTGTTTTTAAGCTTGGGGTAGGAAAAATGAACTGCTTATTTCAAGTGACATTCATCCTTTATGAGCAGGGTGCTTGGTGAAATGATAGCTTTTTGTCTTCTAGTCTTGCTTCTTAATCCAACCTCATGATTATGAATGATGTGGGATGAGTGTTACCATGATTGGTACCTAGATACTGTTGACCTCTGATACCCATTGTAGAGCCTCTTCCCTATGAATGATCACTAAATGGTCAGGAGATCAGGAACTAGGGACAGAGGATTATGATGTCAGTGTCCTGCCCCTCCTATGGAAGATGTCTGTGTTGTTGGCTATGTTTCTGTCAAGCTAAACTTGTAGGGGGCTGGTAGTGAGTAAGTCTTGCTTTAAATACTAGAGATTCTCACTGTTCCTAATGGACTTTTGTAGGTGTTATTAAATAAATGTTTCTCCATTTACTGTATTCCTTTGGGACAATTTTCAGATCCTTCAAACATTTGGGTTTTTTGTATATTTCATCAATTATGCTTTTTCTCTGGGGTGTATCTCCCTGAAGCTTCTCATGGTGCTTCATACATTGTTTCAAGTGAAATAAGAATAATTCGATCCGGCTCGGCACCTGTGGCTCAAGTGGCTAAGGTGCCAGCCACATATACACCTAAGGTGGCAGGTTCGAATCCAGCCCGGGCCCACCAAAACAACAATGATGGCTGCAACCAAGAAAAAAAAAAATAGCCAGGTGTTGTGGGGGGTGCCTGTGGTCCCAACTACTTGGGAGGCTGAGGCAGGAGACTCGCTTGAGTCCAGGAGTTGGAGGTTGCTGTGAGCTGTGATGCCACGGCACTCTACTCAGGGGGACAGCTTGAGGCTCTGTCTCAAAAAAAAAAAAAAAGAAGAATTTGATCCTTATTTTTGATTGTGCTTATATATATATATATATTCCAATTTGTATATGTTGCAAACTGTACAAATAATGACAGAATGAGTTTTTCAGACCAATTTACTTACAGTTTTCTCAGTGATGGGAAAATGGAGAGAAGAACAGAAAAAAAGATGAGAGGGAGCTGCTTTTAAAAAATGGGGAAATATTGTTGAAAAATTGAATTATTTCTTCCTTGAGGAGAAGGCAAAGATTTAACTGTTGAAAAACTAAATATGCAGAGGTGATGGCTTCCTATTATGTTAATTCAAATGATATGAATAGGAGTAATATACACTGCTTTGTGAAAGCCCCCCAAATTACAATCAAATATATGGTGGGGAAGGCATTTTTTAGAGATGTTAGACATTTTCTACCTTCCCTATGTTCTTTTGACTCAAAAAGATAAAGGAATGATATATATGATAGTATTTATACTCAATAGAATAGCACCCGTATCCAGTAAAAATGTGTGTTTTTTTCTATAATTGCAGTTAATTTAAGGAAATCACTGAATATCGGGTGCTGTTTTCTCCTTCAGAGGCTTTCATATATCAAATTCCTAGAGGACTATGTTTTAAGGTGCTGCATACGGAATAGTTTAAACATGCATCAGGAAAGCAAAGGGGCCATTTTATTTCTAAATTAGGTCTAGTGACAAAGTTCCATTTGGTGTACAGCTGGGTTTTGAGAATGAAAGAGAAAGGATATTCTCAGATGGAAAGCTCCTATTTTTAGATAAATTTGGAAAGAACCGATATGTTTCTAGTAAGGATTCTTTCTATTCGTGTACCTGGTATATCTTTCCTTCTATTTAGATTATATTTCATATTTTTTCAATAAGATTTTATAACTCTATTATACCTTGGTAAAATTTATTTCTCGTTATTTTGTGTTTCTTGGTATTGTAAATGTTGTATTATATAAATAGAAAAGCAATTAAGTTTTGTAGTCATTTTTTACTCTGTAATGTTGCTCAACTCTAGTTCTAAGTGTGCATTCTTTCTTTTTCTTTTTTTTTTGTGTGTAAGATTATATTGATAGCTAGTAAAAGTATACTTTTTCTCTTAACAATATATATTTAATATCCTTTCTCCCCCTCTTAGTATGCTAATTAAAACCTGTAGGACATTTTAAAACATAAAGCAAGTTTTTCTTGATTTTTAAATAAAAATTGCACCATTAAATATGATATTTATAGATGTTTTTGGCATTCTTATTACCAAATTAAGAATTTTCTCTATATTCCTCTTTTATTGGCAATTAAAAAAGCATTCATTAAAGATGTTGGTTATTTTAGACCTTTTTGGGGAATCTGTTGATATGTCTATACTTTTTTTCCTTTATTTATGTGATAAATTATATTAATAGACTTTCTTTTGTTTATAGATTTTCTAATGTTAAATCATCCTTGCATTTCTGGAATGATATAATCTCTATAGATAAATACAAATTTTCTTTGGTACTGGTATAACTTACTTTGGATTTTTGTGTCTATATTCCTAAGTGATACTGCTCTGAAATGTTCCTTTTTTTTGTCCTACGTTTTTTCTGACTTGGATAAACAGTTATGCAAATTTCACAAAATGAGCCAGGAACTTCCATTTTAAATCCCATATAACATTTTTTATAAAACTGGAGTCATTCATTTACTGAAATTTAAGAAACTTACAGGACCAGGCAAAGTGTTTTTGTGAATAGATTTTATATATTTGGTTAAATGTATTGGTAGTTATTAAACATTTAATTATCCTTTTGAAATTTTCTATTTTTTCCTACTTTTGAATTTTTAAATTTAGAATTAGTGACAATAGTCAAATGGCTCAAAAATTGTACACTATGCAGTGGAAACAATGAAAAATTTACTTTGACTCTGTATTGCTGTCAAGAAGCCTTCCTTCAGAGAGTTATATTTTTGTTTTTTTTCTGTGATGTTCCAACAGTGGAAACCCAAGATCGAATTCTGTGTGGCTTTAAGATTACCTGTACTTTTCCTCCTTTGATTTCTCCCCTTCTGTGGTTATTGGTACAATGAAGTTCTGCTATTTATTTTATTCTATCAATTTAGGATTTTTATGAAAACTTTTCTAGGTTTTAAACTTATTGGGAACTTGTTCTAGTATTTGCTAATGACTTAAAAATATCTATTATATCCATATGAAGCACACAACTGGATGTTTGTCTTCAAACCAACCCCTTTCCTAATCTGCCCTATTCACCTGTATCACTGTTTTTCAACCTTTTTTTAATCTCAAAGCACATTTGAACCAATAGTTAAACTTCCATGGCACACTTAAATTATGTGGATCAAAAACAGTAAAAACAAGAATATACTTGTTGGACTTTGGACTTTTTTCAAAAATAATTTAATTAATGATCTTTCAGGGTGGCACCTGTGGCTTAAGGAGTAGGACGCTGGTCCCATATACTGGAGGTGGCAGGTTCAAACCCTGCCCCAGCCAAAAAAAACTGCGAGGCACACCTAAGATCCTCTTATGCCATACCAGCATGATGCAGCATGCTGGTTAAAAATCACTGAGCTATATGCTCAGGCCAACTCCCTGGAAGAAATCTTTGATTCTTATCTTTGTCTTGCTACCCCACAGCAACTTATCAGCAGGTTCTATCCTTTCTACCTTCAGAATATATCTGAAATATGACTCTTTGCTACCTGTTTTATGACTTGTCAGACTACCAACAGCTTTGGTTGGATTATTTCATTAATTTTTTATTGATCCCTTTGCTTCTACTCTTGACACCAACTGTCATTTTTTTCACTTTGGGTGCCTGGTTATTCAATTTAAGTTTCATAATATTTGTTTCATAACATTTTAGTATGTTAAGTTTATTTATAGTTCTTTTGAAATGGTTCTAATATTTGCTAGGATAGTGTTTATTTTCTCTTGTTCACTTTGTTGACTTTCTTTTTTAAGGTTAGATTTTCTAAGGGTTTGTCTTGAGTGGGAATGTTTTAATGTCCTCTATTTGTCCACATTAAGCACTTTTGAGGTTTCTGGCACTGTTGGATACTCCAGTCTGGAACTACATGTTTTTCTTTAAGCCTGGGGATTCTTGCCTCTTTCTAATACTTGGCATAAGTAACATTGTATCTTGACATGAACAGCTTTAGATAGGTCCTGTCTGTGCTGCTTTTAAAATTTCTTCTACATATGTAGGCCACATCTCAAATTTATCTTTTATCTCTTTTTAAGAGTATGAGAACTCTTTTACGAGTCTGTAGTTTCATTTTCTGAGTTTGGATTCTTCTGCTAAGTATGTCAGTGCATTTAGTCTTAACTATTTCCCATTTGAAAATCTAGCCATCTCTCTATATAGTATGGCACAGAGATACAAAAAGGTATTTGCTTAGCTCTGACTTATTATGTGTTTCAGATTCATCAGCATAGTAATTTTTGGTTTTGAGTATTTTAGGATTTTTTAAAAGTCTTTTCTTCCTCCCTCTTTCTTTGGTCTCCTTCCTCCATCTGTCCTCTTATGTGTATATCAATGCTTTTTTTGTGAACATATAGAAATATCTATATTTTATTTTATTTTACCTAAACCTTCATGTTCATTTTTGGAAATAATGATTGTATGTTGTTTATGTGGATATACTTTATTTAGATATAATATTTACTTAATTCTTCACAAAAGTAGTTAAAATTAATTCTATAAGATATTATTTGAAAATATAACATCAAATTTTGCCACAAAGCCATGGTACTTTTTTGCTTTTGAAGAATAATCTGTGACTGATACAGAAGTTATTGTTTGTGTCAAATTTTTTAAGTGAAAAATAAATCAACGAGTTTTTTCTCTGTCATTTTGTGAAATAGGTAACATACCGGAATTTTTTATTATATTTTTTATTTATTATGTTTGATTGTGACACAAGTGCTCTAATTTTAGATCTTTGAAGACAGTTTATTTGAAGCAAAGAAAGAAATTGAAGTATCACAGAGTAAATATAATGCCCTATCATTACAGTTGAATAATAAACAGACTGAACTTATTCAAAAGGATATGGATATTACCCTGGTCAGGCAAGTATATTCAACTTTTAATTTACATTACAGAAATGTCAGTAAGTATTCAGATTTATTATCAATACCCCCAAAATTCAACAATATGTTTTCTATGGGTATATATGTTTGTAAATTGAAAATCTGGAATTATTAATATTAAATTGGCAATAGTTACCTGGAAGAATCAGGTTGTCCGCAGAAGTGGAACAGCATAGTCAGAGAGTACCTTTGTTTCAGTGTTTAATAAGGATAATACATTAATTGATTGTTTTCTTTTAATATTTCTAGCTATGTGTTATGTGATAATTGTTATAGTGTACAATAATAACAGAAACAATTTGGACTTTTAATTTTGTTATGTCATATACTTTTAGCTTGTGAAATACTCTTTCTATATCAACATAAATGATTTTATAATACTAATCATAAAGTGGTATTACTTGGAAGAGTAAGCACAAGGCGGGATGGGCGACCTACTCTGTAATTGTAGCATCTGGGAGCCTAGAGTGAATATCAGCTGGAGCAATGGAGCAAGAGTGAGACTATGTTTCTACTAAAAATAAAAAACTAGGGAGGTATGGTTTTCCTAGGCCTATAGTTCCAGCTACTTCAGAGGTTGAAGCAAGAAGATTGCTTGAGCATAAATTTGAGGTTGCTATGAGCTATGATGATACCACAGTTATAAAATAAAGAAAGAAAAGAAAAAGTAAGCACAATATACATGTTTTTAAGTTTTATGACAGATGTTAAAACTATTAATATTTTTCATAATTACCTTTTCCAGAAAATAGTGTTAGAGTACATTAAGACAAGATTTTTGCTTGGTTCACAGATTAATACATATTCTCATACACATGTGTATGTATATATGTATTTTAGTAGCACCAGAGAATGAATTTAAGGTATGCTTCTAGGGATATATGATGAGCCTTGATCATATAATTTAAATTAAAAAAACTAGTGCATATGAGGTAAAGGAAATTACTGCCATTCTAGTACACATTGGGATGGAGTTTTTTTGGATACTTGGCTGAAAGCTTTTCTTTCATGTTAGTGGGCATTGGTAAGGGGATTGAGTTGTTGTATATCAGGTATTTTTATAAAAATTTCATTGGGTAAAATATGATTTTGTATATTTAAATATGCCATTGTGAATTTAGTTTGGATGAGAAACTATCTTATTGAAGTCAATAAAATTAAAATGAAGTAGAATTTTAACAAATGCCTTGGCCCGGTGTGGTAGCTTATACCTGTAACCTTAGCACTCTGGGAGGCCAACACTGGTGGATTGCTTGAACTCATGAGTTCCAGACCAGCCAGAGCTACAGTGAGATCCCGGTCTCTAAAAATAGCCAGCCTTGTGGCAGGTGCCTGTAGTCTCTGCTACATGGGTGCTGAGGGAAGAAAGTCACTTGAGCCCAAGATTTGAGGTTGCTGTGAGCCATGACACTCTACCAAAGGTAACAAAATAAGGACTCTGTATCAAAAAACAAAAACATGTCTTATGTCACATTTTAAAAGTTTTTTCATTATAATTGTAAGGAAAAGTATACACTTCATAGGTGATAGACTGGCTGACATATCAACTCATGGTGTAAGTATTTTTTAAGCCAATTACTTAATAAAGTCTGAAAGTAATTCTAAATGGGAATAGAATCTTAGATTTGGAAGGAGTTAAAAAAATTATCATTTATTCTAATCTTCTTTCCATTAAGATAGGGTAGTATTTATGTGTTGCTTGACACTTTCAGTTTAAAAGTTTCTCATATTTTTCAAGATTACCATTTTTATTTTATATTATTTAAATTTTTGAACATTGCTTTTCATATATTTAATTGAATTTTTTTTTTTTTTTTTTACAGTTATCACCCATTGATCCTAGTTTATTTTCTGGAGAATCTCTGAAAAAATTTGATCTCTGTTCTATAACATATTCCACTGGTAGAAGATAGTTATTGGTGACATTTTTTTCATTAATTGATTAACTACTTAGATTTCTCGCACAAATTCTCCATATATAAGTTTCACATATGTTATTTATAACAGTGATTTGGGTTGCCATTCTGACCATATTCTGCATTGTCAATATGCTTCTTAAAATATGACAGAACTGCACAAAATATTTCAACAAGGACAGTTGCATTTTAGAGCAGAATGGGATCCATTCTAGAATATGGTGCAAAGTGAAGGCTATTGGATTATAATAGTTGTGTTTTTTCCTCTAAATTTTGATAAGGTTTATATACTTAAATTTAGTATATTGAGAGTTATAAGTCAAAGTAAATAAGGAAATAATATTCATAGATGCATGTTTTCTTTACACAACAGAGAAAGAAAACATTTTCTTACACAAATAGTAAAAGAATAATGGCTAATGGACCATGGGTAATTATATGAGTTTGATTATCAGGAAATCATAAAGGAGGAGAATAATAGCACATAGCTGATATTTTGGAACAGAGAATTTTGACTTGAGTCCTCATTACAGGGTAGTAGTTTGGACATCTGCAGTGTTTCTCCTGGGTTATCTGCATAAGGATTACTTGTTGGATGTACTATGTGTTTTATTTTCCTCTTCCTTTTTATTTACGGGGGAGTGGTGGTTGTGATACACCAGTTTTTGAAGCTCTATGTTCTGTTGAAAACACACAAAGACAATTGTGAAATAATGGTCCAGGCACTTTCTTATTTGGATATGCTTTTCTTTGTTGATAAATGATGTAGTTGACTTAGGTTTGTTTCTGCGTGGATTTGTTTCTTTGACATTCATAATCATTTATATTTTATTGAATATTTAATCCATATCATCCGTTGTGCTGTGAGATATTTTTGTGAATTACCTCAATTGATTTTTGCCTAGGGTTATAGTATAAATAAATAAGTACTTAATATATACAGTTGTCACTCAATATTTGCAAGGGATTGGTTTCAGGACCCCCAATGGATTAAAAAAATCCGTGGATGCTCAAGTCCCTTTAATAAATGGCACAGTGTTTGCACATAACTATGCATATCCTCCCATATGCTTGCTTGCTTTCTTTATTAATTAATTTATTTATTTTGAGACAAGGTTTCTCTGTCCTCCGCAGACTAGCACTCATTAATAAGTGTGGCAGAGACCTCAAATTTCTGGGCTCAAGTGATCCTCCTCCCTCAGCATTCAGAGTAGCTGGGACTACAAGTGCAAACCACTATGCTCAGCTACAAGACATTCTCACTCTTGCTTAGGCTGGTCTTTGGGCCGCAAGTAATCATATGCCTTGGCCTCCCAAAGTGCTAGGATTACAGGTGTGAGTCACCATGCCCAGCCCTCTTGTTACTTTAAATCATCTCTAGATTACTTATACATAATATCAATAGTGTAAATCCTATGTAAATAATAATTATTCTGTTTTGAGTTTTAAAATTTGTATCATTTTTTTCTTGTCTATATATTTTTTCTTAGCTTTAGGGGGTACAAGTTGAATTTCATCACATGTATATATTTATATATTGTATATATAAGCAGTTCTCAACCTGTGGGTTGCGACACCTTTGGGGGAGTTGAACGACCCTTTCACAGGGGTTGCCTAAGACCATTGGAAAACACATACGTCTGATGATCTTAGAAACTGAGACAGCGCTCCTCTATCCATCTCCAGGCGGGTCTACCCACATGCAGATATGCCCACATACGAGTACCCAGCGTGATGACATTGTGCCAACCCCATCACATACACCCCGTACAAATACAGGTGTATGTGATAGGGCTGGTGCGGTGCCATAATGTACTTATGTGGACCAGTCAAACGTGTAGAGAGCAGCTACTGTGTAGAAAGCAGCTGCTGTGTTGAAAGCAGCAATATTGGAGATAAAACGACACTTCATGAATTATAATTACTGGGTAAATGTAAAATCATGTATTGTAAAATCATCAACTAATGCAAAAAAAAAATATATATATATATCTGTACCATGAGAACTTAATCTGGATACTGATCGGTCTTTTTATATTCAGCTATGGTTGATTTGAATACTGCCCCCTTGTGATAGTAACAGGTATGTAAAAAAACAACACAGATGGTAAGTCATAGGAAACTTTAATGAACTGTACTGACTGAACTATGCCATGTATCATCTTTTGTATTATTAAAGCTATTGTTATATATTATTTTCATTAGCAAACCATTCCATGACAATAGATCATGAAGAACGTTAAGAAAAGAAAATATAGTGAGGGTTTTTTACAGTATCATTTTGCCTCAGTAATTGCAGCAGGAATTGAGAAACCACAATGTGTTTGTTGTGAAGTTCTATCAGCCGAATTTATGAAGTCAAACAAACTAAAGCACCATTTTGATAGCAAGGATACCAACTATTTTAGAAGCAAAGCTGATGGACTCAAGAAAGCCAGACTTGACATTGGTGGCAAGTACCACAACAAAACATAGCAGCCGTTGAAGCTTCATATTTGGTGGAACTCAGAATTGCCAGAGCTATGAAGCCTCACACCATTGCTGAGGATTTACTGTTACCAGTGGCCAAAGACATTGTTCGAGTTTATGATAGGAGACGAAATTGTTATGAAATTGAATATAATTTCCGTATCTAACGACACTGTCTGCAGAAGAATAGACATGTCTGCTGATATTCTTGATCAGGTAATCCAGGAAATTAAATCTGTTCTACTTCCAATATTTAGTATCCAGCTTGATGAATCTATAGACATTGCAAACTATTCACAGTTCCTGGTTTATGTGAGGTATGTTAATGATGGCGACTTTAAAGATGAGTTTCTTTTTTGCAAACCTCTTGAAACAACAACTACTGTACGTGATGTATTTGACACAGTTGGTTCATTTCTGAAAGAGCATAAAATCTCTTGGGAAAAGGTTTGTGGTGTTTGCACAGATGGTGCTCCAGCTATGCTAGGATGTCGATCTGGATTGCAATGTTTAGTACTGACTGAATGAGTCACCAAATGTCATTAGAACTCACCGTATGATTCATCGGCAAATATTAGAAATGAAGATGCTGCCACAAGAATTACAAGAAGTAATGAAAAATATCATAAGTTCTGTCAATTTTGTTAAGGTGAGCGCCCTTTAAACACTCAACTGTTTTTACCACTGTGCAACGAGTTGGATGTACCAAACAATTCTCTGCTATTTCACACTGAAGTGAGATGGTTGTCAAGAGGAAGTTTTAAAATGTGTTTTTGAGCTTTGTGATTAACTCAAAACGTTTTTTAATCAGAAAGCAAGACTGCAATTTGAAGCACTTTTCAGCGATAAAAGTGAACTGCAGAAAATAGCTTACTTGGTTGACATCTTTGCCATCTTGAATGAGTAAATTTATCATTGCAGGACCAAATGCAACATGCCTCGATTTGTCTGAAAAAATCCGATCATTCCAAATGAAACTTCAGCTTTGGCAAAAAAGACTGGATGAAAATAAAATTTACATGTTACCCACCTTACCTATTTTCTTTGAGTTATATAACATTGAACCAGACAAAAGGATTACGATGATAATTTCTGTGAAAGAACACTTGCACATGCTTGAAGACGAAATTTCATCATACTTTCTGAATCTACCTGACAGCCCATTTGCACTTGCCAGAAGCCCATTCACAGTCAAAGTTGAAGATGTTCCTGAGACAGCACAAGAGGAGTTCATTGAACTTATTAACAGTGATGCAGTGAGAACTGATTTCTCTATAATGCCATTTACAAAATTCTGGATCAAGTGTTTGCAGTCATATCCTGTTCTGTCTGAGACTATGTTGCTGCTTCTTTCATTTCCAACAACGTATCTTTGTGAAACAGGGTTTTCCAACTTGTTGGTTATCGAGTCTAAATACAGAAGTAGGCTTGTTGTGGAAGATGACCTTTGTTATGCTCTTGCAAGGACTTCCCTGAGAATTTCTGATCTGGTGAGAAAGAAGCAATCTCAACCTTCGCACTGATGTTGGCTTTTTACGCCTACTGTCGTAAAATGTAGCAATGTAGTTTAATGTTGTTATATTAAGACTGTTAACCCATGCTACACCATGCTTCAAGACAAAATTTCATTTATTTGTAATTAGAAATAAATATTTCACAATATATAATTACATATTGTTTTTGTGGTTAATCACTATGCTTTAATTATGTTCAATTTATAACAGTGAAAATACATCCTGCATATCAGATATTTACCTTACCATTCATAATAGCAGGAAAATTACAGTTATGAAGTAGCAATGAAAATAGTTTTATGGTTGGAGGTCACCATAGCATGAGGAACTGTATTAAAGGGTTGTGGCATTAGGAAGGTTGAGAACCACTAGTATATGTTGTATAGTGGTAAACTCTGGATTTTTGATGTACCCATAACCTGAGTAGTGTACATTGTACACCATAAACAATTTTTGATCTGCTGTTGGTTCATTTTGTGGATGTGAACCAGTGGATATGGATAGCTAACTCCATGCATGCCTTAATAATGTACATGTCTGTAATCTATATAAAGCATCTAAATGTATTTACATAGAAGTTGCATATAAAGTGATAACCAGTTAAGTTGTGAAAACAAAACTTTCACTTTAATAGGTAATGATTCTACAATTGAGCTGAGAATTTTTGTTAAAATTGGTTGTGAATCTGGATAAAAATGAAAAAATGAGTCGAGACAGTGAAGTTATAATTTTGGTTTGAAAGGCCTCAGTCATAATCCTCAAATTTGACTAATACATCTGGATTGCTGGTGTTTTTCCAAGGGTTTAGCAGAAGCAAGTGTAAATTATCTATAGGATGATAAAATAATTTGAACTTAAATTATATCTACAATCTAGTTTGTGGCTAGCATATACTTAGAAGTAAAGGTATGCAATAAGGAAGAAATAAAATTTAAAAAGATGCAAGAACTACAAGTGAGGGAAGAAGACCTAATTATATGTCTAGAACATGATTAGCTCACATAAAAAGAATAGTTTATAGATAAATTATTTAAATTAATAGATTAGTTTAGCATGCTTTGTAGATACATGATGTGTAAAATTTAGTTGCATTTTTATATAGCAAAAAAGTAGGAAGCTAAATTAAAAATAATCTAATTTACAATATCACTAAAGACATGAAGAACAAATACAATGAAAGATGTATCTTATCTCTATACGGAGATCTCTAAAACATTATTGAGAGAAGTAAAAGGTCCCAATATACAGGGATTTACAAAGTTTGTGGTTTGGAAGACTCTGCTAGTCCTTTCTAAATAGATATTAGACTCAGAATAATACCAATAACAGATTGTAGACAGTAGGAAACTATTACCACCCTTTAGCCAGAAGGGGCAAGCAAAGGAGCTTTGTCAGGTCTCAGTGAAAACATCTCTAGGACAGAGGCTGCCTAATAAGAATAGTGGCCTAAGTACTAAGAAGAAAATAGACACCATCAAACGGTAGCTCAACAGAGAGGGACCCAAGGAAATAAATACCCTGACCTCTTTATCCTTTACCCTCTAATCACCAGCTAGCACCTCTAACTGATAAAATTCAGGGACAAGGAGCTGTGTAATGTAGTCTATAGAGGTTGGTCTCTCAGACAAAGCAGGGTACAGATGATGATTAGCCAATTCTCAGTTACTATTCTTTTCCAGAGATTTTCTGAACTTTAACCTGCTTATTTATTGTTTGATAGTTTAATAGATGATCAAATTTACACGTAAACCTAAGGAGAAATGGCATCTTTATGATATTCAGTCTTGTTTCAGAGTCTGGTATATGCCATTCCATTTGTTTTAGTCTAGTACTTTTGTGTCATTACAAAGTGTTTCTCATATGGATTTTGAATTTTTCCTCCTATATAGTTTTCAAATGATTTTTCTTTTATTGTATTTAATTTTGCTGTACATGTTTTGCTGGGCAATATTTTGGTTGGTAAGGGAGTTAGGGTTATTTTGTTTTTACTGTGAATTGTACTTTTCACTTTTTTCTGTATGTATTTTTTGCCTTGAGTTCTAATTCCTCTTAAATTAATATTGCTAGAATTACAAGTGTGAGCCACCACAACCACCCAGCAGTGTTGTTTTCAGTAATTTTGGTTTGAAAACTTAATTTGCCTTTTGGAATTCTTTTTAATGTATTTAAAGTTCTGTATAATATAAAATGAAAGATTGAATTATTCTGTGTTCATAACCTTCTGATATTTGTAGTTGGCATCAGTACTTAATTTTTGGAACTGAAGTGTTAACTTAATTTCCATATAAAGGTGTTACTATGATGTATATCCAGGGTTTTTATTGCTATTAAGCTATAAAAGAAAATTGATAAGTCATAGTAGTTATATCGATACTTTCTAGGTATATGTGATAAATATTAAATACTTTATATTTTATTTCTTTTATTAATAAGTTTGCATGCATTAAAAATAATAGATGAAAAAGGGGAAGCAGATCTATAACCTTTGATGAACATAGTTATTTAACTGAGATGATCTTTATTCACGCTTTTTTCTATTTATTGCTTGCTTTGCACAGGAAGGAGCTGCAGGAGCTGCAGAATCTTTACAAACAAAACAGTGCACATACGGCACAACAAGCAGAGCTGATCCAGCAGCTTCAGGTTCTCAATATGGATACCCAAAAAGTACTGAGAAATCAGGAAGATGTTCACACAGCTGAAAGTATATCATATCAAAAAGTATGCTTTTATTCTGTCATAACATGTAAATTTATATGTATGAATTTAATTGAAAATTTTATTCAACTTTCTGAAAATTTTAGAATTTCATTATTACTCTCGAGTTTCTTCAGAATTAAAAATAAGGGATTGTGTAGTTTGGTAATATTTAAAATTTTGTGAGTTTTCTTTATGGTTATTAGAGTAGAGCTATTTAAAATAGATTATAAATTAATTTTGCAGAATATTTTTATAAATTGGAATTTGGATATCTATTATGAAACATACTACAGGTATAGCACCCAAACTGGAAAGAATTTGGGGAATGAAATTGCTCAGCCTTCTATTATGAGAAATTATTTTATCAAGTACGGTTCTAGTTTGTGACCTAAATCAGACTTTCATTATAAAATTTGTATATAATTTTATTGGGAAATCTGCTCATACACAAAGGGGAATGCTGATGAGGTCTCAGGATTAATATTTTCCAGATTACCTTTTTCTTTATTTTGTGTTTCTTTTCAGCAGTTGTTTTACTTTACAAATGTTTTAGGAGCTCCTCAAGAAGGCTGACCCAGCTATTTAGGCATGCTAACTGACTCAGCAGCTGTATTTAATTACTAGCAATAATTATAGATAGTAATTTTTCGAAAAATACCTTTATTAAGTTATTTGTATGTATTTTATAATGTGGTAAGATAATTATATAAATAATTTAGTTTATAGATAGATTAACCCTATGAAAGCAATGTTATTCCCACTTAATAGTTGAGGTAGGTGGGGCTTATAATGTTAAGTAGTACAATTCATATTTTTTTGAAAATTATGGGTTCTTTTCCCCCTTTTAATCCTAAAAAGGCATCATGAAAACCTAATATTTGTAATTAACATGAAATAACTTTATTAAATAAACTTTAAATACATTTCAAAATTTTATTAAACATTTAGGAGGTACAAGTGTTTTTTGTGACATGTATAAATTGTATCATGCTGAAGTCAGTACATTATATTTGTTAGGTAGTTTTTTATCCCTCATCCCCCTCTCAGCCCCCTCTTTTTAGTTTCCACTGTCCATCACAGCTCTTTATGATCACATATATCCTCTGTGTAGCTCACACTTACTGAGGATAAACAAATTTTTAAATGCCACTTTGGAAAAGTGTTTAGTCTGTATTCTTTGTTTCCTTTTGCTTCCCTGAAGACATGGATGGTATCAAGGATACATGGATGGGTGAGGTAGAGTCTTTCTTTTCCATTTCAGCTAAGGCAAACCTTTTTTTGTATATGGTAGGATTGCCCAGTATGTTTTCATTTCTAGCCCAGTCTCCGTTGCTAAAATGAAAATTTATATCTTTTTAGTAATTGTAATTGTTTCCTCTTTTCCCAAATCTCAATATTAGTCAGCATTGATGACTCTTAAAACACTTCCTCTTCCCCAAAGCCCCCTTGTAGCTTCCAGTGCACTACAATTGTGAGGTTGTACTATAATTATGTGGTTTTCTTCCATCCATTTCTAGTTGTTCCTTTTTAGTCTCTTTCTGGTCCTTTCTAGTCACTGTTTCTCTCAATTGTATAAATTTAGTTTCTTTTGCTTTGCTATTACGTCGTAATTTTGAACTTTTTGATCTTTTTGTAGATTTTTTTATTAACCTGGTAGTTTTTCTCCAGAAAAGTATGAGTTGTAGAATGCAAGATTTTGAGATCTGGAAATAATTCACACTGCTTTGTTTATCGTGTGTGTTACCGTTTGGACTTCCAGTGTTTATTTACTTCAAATTATTCTTATTCTAGAGCATTTGACATAGTACTTGTCCTTATTTCTCTTCTACATGTATTTTTCTAGATTTTTTTCAATAAATTTGAATAATCTAGTAACCAGTGCATCAATGAGATGACATTGGTTACTTAAAAAATGCAGGTACTAAAAAAATTATAAACAAAAAAAGAAATTCAGATTTTCAAGTATTTTCCCATAGATTAATTTTAATATTTTCAAATAATAATTGAGGTTTGTCTGTAAGACTCAGGGGAATCAAATTTTAAAAATCATATTACACTTAACAATTTATTTCCAACTCTTCTTTGAGAGTTGGGTCTTCTTAATTTACTATTTCTAGTGGAAGTTTCTATTCTGTTTTCTTTCTCTTAATTCTTTACCCTTTTTTCTTGCCCATCCATTTTCTTTCTTTTCTCATTTTATTAAGTACATTTATTTCATAATATCCATTTAATTGTCTGAAAAGATGAAAACAGTTGTCCAGAGTGGTAGGATGAGGAAAGGGCAGAGGGGAGACAAAGGTGAAGAAAGAAAACTGAAAAGGTTTTGTGCATAGGAAAGAGGTAAGTCATATATTCCCAGAGGTGTCTGGGAAAGGACAAATCATTAATCTCATACACAGATCCACCTACCATATAGTGTGGAAGGAATCAAGATAAATAAAGGTAAGTATCTTCTTTTTTTCTGAACATGTAGCCATTTTATAATTTTTAAGTCTCTGCATATCATTTAGATATGTGTGTGACTTAGATATTGGTAGAATGTATATCAGCATTTATGATTTCTAGACCATCTATCATGTTTTGGGTACTAAATATATATCTTATAACCATTTGTTCTATTTAATAGTAATTATATTACATAAGCTAATATCAATCTCAGAAAATAGAGAGTTAGCTTATATTATATATAATTTTTTTTTGAGACACTTTTTTTTTCATGTTGTCGCTCTTAGTAGAATATTGTGGCATCATAGCTCACAGCACCCTCAAACTCTTGGGCTCAAGCGATTCTCTTGCCTCTGCCTCCCATGTAGCTGGAACTATAGACACCTGCCACAGCACATGCCTATTTTTAGAGATAGGGGTCTCACTCTTGCTCAGGCTGGTCTTGAATTCCTAGGCTCAAGCAATACACCAGCTTCAGCTTCCCAGAGTGCTAGGATTACAGGCATGAGCCACCATGCCTGGCCTTAGTTTGTATGTATTTGTAATCTAAATTTCATGTAATTCTATTTTATATTTTCATTTTTAGTTATAAATTGTATAGTTTTCACTTGAAGAATTTTATCATCTTGATCAGTGTTGGAAATTTAGTCAGCCTTTCATATCCACAGGTTCCACATCCCATGGATTCAACCAACCGTGGATCAAAAAATATTTGGAAAAAAATAACAACATAGCAGTAAAAAGTAATACAAAGAATATAATATACCAACTATTTACATAGTGTTTACATTGTTTTAGATATTATACATAATGTAGAAATGGTTTAAGCAGGGGTCCTCAAACTTTTTAAACTGGGGGCCATTGGAGAGCCCTCAGACCATTGGAGAGCCGGACTGCAGGCCCTGGGATGAGTCGGCTACTAAGAAGGACAGGCAGTGGTGGCAAAAACACCCAGCAGGCCAGATAAATGTCCTAGGCGGGCCACATGTGGCCCGTAGGCCATAGTTTGAGGACACCTGGTTTAGAGTATATGGGAGGATATAGGTGACATGCAAATATTACACCATTTTATATCAGAGAATGGAACATCCACAGAATTTGTTAATCTTCTGGGGTCCTGGAACCAATCTCTCATGGATAACAAAGGATAACTATTGTACTATTGTATACTTACTAAATTTGGAAAAATTTGTAAATTAAACAAATATCATTGGGTTGGGTCATAACAAATATATATTTATTTTTATTAAATCATAGCTGTGTACATTACTGGAGTCATGGTTACAGTGTGTTGGTTCTATATACAATCTGAAATATTTTCATCAAACTGGTTAACATAGCCTTCATGTCATTTTCATAGTTATTGTGTTAAGACATTTACATTCTACATTTAGAAAGATTCACATGTACCCTTGTAAGATGAACCATAGACGTGACATAAATATTTTTTAAAAGTGTTAAAGTATATAAAATATCGTTTTGGCCTTCAATGCTAATAAAAATTTGGGAAGTTAGAGTACGTAAATCAAAGCCCCTGAAAATTAAAGGATATGGAGCTTGAGGTCCGGTTTCCAGAGATGATTTGCTTTCTGTCCCCTGGAGATCCTTTTAACCTTTTTTCACTTTAATTTCTTTAACAGAAAATAGCATGAATAGTAAGCATAATAAATTACTTATGAATTATAATGATTGATACTTGTAAAGTATATATGTAATATATGGCTACTTTTTTTATAATACTAGAATCTTGCAAAAAATTGTGATCCATGCCAGAATTTTGGATTAGAGGAAAGAAATTGTACAGAAAAGAGCCCCATTGAAAACTGCCATAAGGAATCCTGATTGCTGATAGGAAAGAAGTTACTAACTCATGATAACTAAAGCAATACAGATTAATGAGTTTATTATATTACCTACTTGAGAATTTTTTTCTCAACTCTTTTATTAATGGGATGAGAATAAGATGGTATCTACCCAGGGTACTGGAATATCGGAAACATTTACCTCCTTGCAAGATACAAAGCAGTAGGCTCGGCGCCTGTGGCTCAAGCGGCTAAGGTGTCAGTCGCATACACCTAAGGTGGTAGGTTTGAATCCCCAGCCCGGGCCCGCCAAACAACAATGATGGCTGCAACCAAAAAATAGCCAGGCGTTGTGGTGGGCGCCTGTAGTCCCAGCTACTTGGGAGGCGGAGGCAGGAGACTCGCTTGAGCCCAGGAGTTGGAGGTTGCTGTGAGCGTGATGCCATGGCACTCTACCCAGGGGGATAGCTTGAGGCTCCGTCTCAAAAAAAAAAAAAAAGATATAAAGCAGTAAACATTTTATTATTCTAAGGTTTTGTCAACAAAAAATAGTTTAGAAATAAGGATAGTTTTAAATCTCATTGAAGATTGTTATAACCAAGTTTCCCACTGCAGTGGATTAATAATGGCTGCAGGTCTGTCTTTGCTTCCTATACTCTTTAAGTCCACAGCTGAGTGATCTTATTACTATTAAATAAGTGAACTCCAGTCAGTAAACAAAGGAACAGGAAATAGAAGATGTATACCCTGTATTTGGAGTAAGAGCTAAGGAATAAGAGTTTGTCCCTAGTTCCTAGAGTAGGGCTCATCTAGATCATCTGATTCAGGCTTTCTTTTTTTTCTTTTTTTTTTTTTTCCCTTTGAGATAGAATCTAACCCTAGGCTTTGGGTAGGGTGCTGTGGCATCATAGCTCAGAGCAACCTCAAACTCTTAGGCTCAAGAGATCCTCCTGCCTCAGCCTCTCAATTAGCTGAGACTATAGGTATCTGCCACCGTGCCTGGCTAAGTGTTTTTTGTTGTTGTTGTTTTGTTTTGTTTTTGTATTTTTAGGAGAAACTTTTTGCTTTTACTCAGGCTGGTCTTCAGCTCCTGAGCTCAAGCAGTCTACCTGCCTTGACTCCCACAGTGCTAGGTTTACAGGCATGAGCCACTATGCCCTGCCTGTTTCAGGCTTTTTTTTTTTTTGGTTCTTTTTCCCCTTCTCAGAAGACAGAAGAGTATACCCCAGTGTCTAGAGTTGCACACTCATTTATTTAAGATCAAGTAAGGACAACTTATCAAGAGTAGTGCAACTGCTTAAACGCATAGCAGAAAGAACTAAGTAGACAACACAAGAGAAGTGCTATTAATCCTCTGTTTTATGAAGCAACAGCAAAGTGGATAGAGAGGAGGAAGAGAAACAACATTAAGTATGGGCTATTCATTCATGGCCTTATATTTGTGAAGGGAGATCCCAAGATGTGACATCCAACAGGAAGGTATACGACACCCTTAGCACTGATGGCCAGTAAATTGGTCCTCGATCACTGACCACACACTGACATCATGCTTGCACCTTGGTTGATGGGAGGGAAGGTATGTGTTTCTCCTTGTCTGGATGACCATGAAATTCTCAAATATTTGAAATCTAATCTTTCTTGTTATTTTAAAAGAGATTAATTTGTACAAATTGGGTAAAAGGAGGTTAGTATAAACATAGCACCCAAATAATAGGAAATGGTTAAAGCTTCACTGAATAAGTGACTGTGCAGGGAAGGGCTAGCCTTCATTCATCCTGGCTTCAACTTAGGTCTTATGTCCAGAGTTTGATTTTTAATTTCTACCTTGAATCCAATCATGAAAGCAGTAACACAGAGCATTTAGGCCACTGTAGGGCTCACTTTGACCTTTTCATTGTCCCTCAAAGCTGTCAGTTTCCTGCTCTTATCATTCCTCCTCTAATATCTGTGTTGTTAGCTGTGGAAACAATATTAACTGTACTTCCAGTATCAAGGTAACGGGAAAGGAAAGTACAATTTTATGTTCTGAAATTCTTTATAAATTGTATAGGCAACACTTTATAAAAATTGCTTAGATGTTGGCTATAAAATGAAATGGGTTATTTAAATATCTCTACAATGATAAAGAGATATAATCTTTTATAGAAGATAAAAAGTATATTGAGCTAATTATATGTCAGCACACTGGTTTGAATGGTCTTCTTTTTATTACAAATTGTATGTTTGAGGGCATGGATTAACCAAAGAGCTTCCATAAACCATTAAGAAATTGTAAAGTTAAAAAATTAAAGTATAATCTACATACAGAAATGTACACAAGTACTGGGTATATAGATGAACTAAAGCTTTACAATCTTTATGTATTTAAGTTTCTTCTCATGAGACAAGGCCAATGAATGGAAGATGCTGTACATATATACTTGAATTAGCAAACCTAAAAACCTACTGTACACAATTTTGAGATTTTTCCAGGTATAGGTTTTTTTTTTGTTTGGTTGGTTGGTTTTTTGAGACAGTCTCAAGCTGTTGCCCTGGGCAGAGTGCAGTGGCCTCACAGCTCACAGCAACCTCCAACTCCTGGGCTTAAGTGATTCTCTTGCGTCAGCCTCAGTATCTGGGACTACAGGTGCCTGCCACAATGCACAGCTGTTTTTTAGTTGTAGTTGTCATTGTTTGGCAGGCCCGGGTCGGATTCGAATCCACCAACTCTGATGTGTGTGGCTGGCACCTTAGCCACTTGAGCTACCTGCACCACCCAAGTTGTGGATTTTACTTTTGCTGTACAATTACACTATCTCACTATTAGCCTTTAAAAAAAAACAAAAGCAAATCTTAGCTCTCCAGTCACTTTCTTAGTGTCAACCACAGATGTAAATCACAAATTGAATTATAACTCATTAAATTGCAACTATGATTTAGGTTTTCGTTAACAAGCAAGTTCATGAGTATTGGGAGGCATACCACTTTGTTAACCCTGTATTAATCTGTAAGACACCTCTTCTGTAGCATATGTTATGTCATAGTTTTAATAAACCCTAGTTTTAACTTTAATGCATATTGCCTTGACTTAAAGTGTAAAATTACCTTTCAAGTGTCCAGGACATTGCTTTTATTCTGTCACAAAGTCTTCAGTAAATCCCTGTTGTCCACAGAACAAGTCTATCTTCCTTAATCTGACATTGATGAGTCTTCACACTCTATCTATAATTTTATTGCTTGACTTTGTCTTTTACTGTTCTTCTGCCCCTCCTCAGCAGTAGATATTAAATTATACTAAATGGGAGTATATCACCCAACCTTAATGACACCTCAGTGAAAGATTCCTGTTTTTTCTTTTAACTATTTATTAAGTCTACTTAGACTGATAAACCTTACGATGCTTTCTATTCTTTCTTATCACTGCACATAATTTTTTCACATTTTTGTCATTTTTAGAATGACATTTTGGTTTTGGTCAATTCTAATAACACTGTCATGGCTCATTTTAAATCCTTTTTTATCAAACCTTCCAATGTTAATATAGCTAGCATAAAATTTCTTCCTCTTCAGAAATGTAATACTTTTTTCCCATTACATTGGCCAATAATACATACTGCCTTTTAGACAACATTTTTTAAATTGATATTTGATGATATCATTTAGTTACCCTTATGTTTATATCTTCTTTTTCTGTGAGACTGTTAAAATAACCTGAAAGCAAGAACTATGTAATATATAGTTCTTAGGTATATATATATATATATATATATGGACATATAACTGTTTATTGATTATTATTGATTGATATTATTTATATAATTTGGATATATTTCTTGAAACAGCTTTACAATGAATTACATATTTGTTTTGAGAAAACAAAATCAAATGAAGCTGTGCTTCGGCAAAGTGTTATTACTCTTCAGGATCAGTTATTTCAAAAAGAGCAAGAAAATGCTAAATTAAAAGAAAAACTTCATGAATCCCAAGGAACAACTTATCCTTTACCTCAAGACAGTGATTCAGACCACTCAGCACAGGTGAGAGACATTTTCCAAAAATGTTACTCTGTGTAATTTGAAATTAAATCATCTAAAATTGAGTAAAATAGATTTGCGTACACTGGAATGTAAAGGTCTGTAGATAGTTTTGCATTATGCTATTTTTCTTCCTTTCATAGATATGAATATTATATGCATTACTGATTCATATGGAAATGCATGTAGAAATGCAGGTATACTAAGTATGTATGGTTATTGTGATGAATCATTTGGTTGATACATAGGATGTCCCTAAAGTCGGCTCTCAAGTTGCCATATACGGGGAAAATGGGAAATTGTAGCTAAATGTATCTTTATTTACAAAATATTCATTACAGAATTTTACGCAATTTTTACAAAATACTCTCTTTGTGCTGGCCACCTCTGTAAAATTTTCCTATGGGATAGATATATATGAAGGATCTGGATTCAAATAACTCTAGGATTAAATTACAGCTATGCCTATAAATTTAGTGAACATTTCTTAACTTTTCTTAACTTTTTTTTTATTTTTTAGAGACAGTCTCACTTTATTGCCCTCAGTAGAGTGCTGTGGCGTCACAGCTCACAGCAACCTTCAGCTCTTGGACTTGGGCGATTCTCTTGCCTTAGCCTCCTGATTAGCTGAGAAATTTCTTAACCTTTTTACCCACATTCCTCTAACACAAAATATTCCTTTTAATGGCATCAATGCCATAGAGTTTTATGGGGATTTATAACATAGTGCATATCAAATGCACAGCTTAGCATATAGAAAATGTTAAATGGTATCTTTTTAGGATCATCTTCAATGTATCTTTCAGCTCTAAATATCTTTTTTAAAACATTATTTTTATTTTTTGAAATTCATTTAAATGTTTCTAAGGCACTTAGCATTTGTTTAAATTTTAGATTTGTTAATTTAATTAAGTAGAATAAAAGCAAGCAGGAAATTAAATGCTTAAATGTTTATTAATGATTTGTCAAGAGTAATTTTTGAACCCAGCACATCTGTCTTGCCAAAACCTCAACCATAAGGCAATTTTTAAACTTATATTGTCTTATATTTTTGGATATAAGGTTCACAGAATGAGACTAATTATAAAATTTGTCATATGACACACTATTACATTATAAGCAGAGGCCTATTTAATTACAATATTCATTATACTATTACATTGTTTATTATAATACACATCTTTGATCTCATTAACTCATCTGAAGACTAGAACATTCCTAATGACTTAAATCTACTGTATGTTCCTCTCTTATCAATATTTTGTTTCTGTGACCAGAGTTAACCACTGCACTATTTATCATTTTTATTATTTTTATTTTTATTTTTTGAGAGTCTCACTGTGTTGTCCTTGGTAGAGTACTGTGGCATCACAGCTCCCAGCAACCTCAGACTCTTGGACTTATGCGATTCTCTTGCCTCAGCTCCCAAGTAGCTAGGACTACAGGCCCCTGCCACAACGCCTGGCTATTTTTTGGTTGTAGTTGTCATTGTTTGGCAGGCCCAGGCTGGGTTTGAACCCACCAGCTCCATGTATGTGACTGGTGCCCTAGCCGCTGAGCTACAGGCACTGCACTGATTTTGATTATTTAAAAAAAAATTTTATCACATACATTTTTATGGGGAAAACAGTTTGTTGTTTAGTTTTGTCATTTATGAAAAATGGCATAATATATATATTGTTGTATGTGTTTGGGCAATTTTGACACAAGTTCCTGAGATTCATCTATCTTGTTTGATACAACTGTTTATTTTCACTGTTTTAAAATATTTTATTATGTGTGAATATATTATAATTACTTATCTGTACATCTCTAGCTAAGTAAATTGGTTAATTCTGGATTTTTCAGATTAAGAATAATGATGGAGTTGATGGTTTTTTAATGTGATTCTTTATGTATATGTGCATGAATTTTGTGGATATCAGGAATGGACATCCTGGATTATAGGGTATAAGAATGTTACTTTTACAATATAATGATAACTTCTTTTTCAAAATGGCTTTGTTAGTTTTACACTCGTCAGCAGTGTTTAAGAGATCAGGTTGATTCATGTCCTCCTCAACATTTAGTAATGTCAGACTTCTTAATTTGGTGCCAACTGAATGAGTATAAAATAATATTTTGGTCTTTATTACTTAATTTTGATAGAGCATATTATTAAATTCTTATTAGACAGTGTGTGTCCTCTGTGAGATATCTGTTTATATCTTTTGTCCATTTTTCTGTTAGATTTTTTTCTTATTCATTTACAAGAATTCTTTTTATATCTTTGATATTAATCCCCAGTAAGTTAAATGTGTTGCAGATATCTCAGAGTGTAACTTGTGTTTTCATTTTCTTTAAGTATCATTTGTTGAACAGAAATTAAGTCTAATTTTAATTCAGGTAAATTAATCTTTTGTAGCTAGTGCTTCGGCAGCTCATTTAAGAAATTCTTCTGTATCCTCAAGACAGAAAGGTTTACACTTGTATTTTCTTCAATAAAATTTAAAGCTTTGCTTGTGCCACTTACATTCTCAATTTATTCAGAATTGTTTTTTGTGTATAGTATAAGTTACCAAATTTGTGAACCAGAAGATGCAATATTGTTAAGAATGCACTTCTTCCTAAATTGATCTTTCATGTAATCCCAATCAAACTCCCAGGAGAATTTGATTTTTTTTAAAATGAAATGTTAAAGTCAATTGTGAAATTTAGAGGAGAATGCAAAGAATCCAGAAAAGAAAAATCAGGTTTTATAAAGAACTTACAGGAGGACTTATACTCCCTGATCAGAATTATCTATCAAGCTAAAAAAACAAGACAATTTGGTATTATCGTAACAATTGAAAAATAATCAATAGAACTAACTAGGGTCCAGAAATATATCTACTCATAGATATATTTATATAGCTTTATAGTAACTTTTGAAGTGAGGATAGTGTAAGTTACTTTATTCTTTTTCAAGAATATTTTGTAGGTTCTAAGCCTTCAGTTAGAAATGTTTATGTCCCTTGTGATTTTCTTTTTGGTCCTTTGGTTACTTAGAACTGTTCTTGTTTACTTTTGAAATATTTTATGTGTGTGTGTATTTTCCTGTGTATCTTATTAGTATTGAATTTTTTTCTTTTTTAATTGAATGGTAGCTGTGTACATTGATGCACTTTGGGGGTACAGTGTGGTGTTTTCACACACAATCCAAGACACTTCCATCAAACTGGTTAACATAGCCTTCATGTAACTTTCTTAGTTATTATGTCAAAACATTCATATTCTACTCAAAGAAAGATT